CGCAGTTGTGGACGAAACGTCAGGAAGAAATTCCGATAGACCACGGCTTCAAAGCCCGGAAAACATTTCTAAATGTAAAGTGAAAAATATTGCCAAAACGTACCAACAATTTGAGTACCTGCAGATAGATCAACTTTTGCTGCCAATATATGTAACAAAACAAACTCACTAAAATGGTGAAACAAAAAAGATTATTACAAAGATGTAAAAAGTGTCTACATCCAACAACGTAATATACATTTTATGTTACACAAAATTCAAAATATATAATTTTCTATTTACAACAGTCGTTACAGTGACAGTATCGAGTTGAGAGATATAATACAAATCCGTCAAGAAGTAAAGCCGCAGATGTCCAACGGGTGAAATTTTAAATTAATACTGCGGGTTTGGAGAGTGTTGATGATGATAGGTTGTGGCAGGAGCCCCATTAGCGCCATTGCTAATGGGTTGGTTGCTTGGAGGCGGTCGGGTTTGGGCAGAAGCTCCGACCACTGTCCTGTTCTCAGGATATGTGGCTGTAGGCTGTTTGGATTGCAAATTTCTGGCTTGCGATCCCAACGAGGCATAAAACGATTCTGGGCGTCTTGTTCTTGCGGGAGGAGGATTATTTTCACTGCTGTCCGAGCTGGAGGGTGGATTTGTTCTGGCAACATACGGGTTTTCAGTGGAAGCGTAATTGTCTCGCCTTGCACGCTCGGTAGAAGCATAATTGTCCCTGGGCTGAGGTCTGTCATTGATCACGTAGTTATCCGGTCTACTAGCCGCTGTTCCAGGAGTCACCCCTCTGACGCCATAAATTTGCTCAGATCGCTGTTGCAACTGATTATGCACATTTTGATTCTGTATATGACTCTGCTGGTTCAAACGCATCGGGTAGAGAGACTGGGCGGGCACCAAAGGTCCAGGCTTAGGCAACAATTCTCTGTTGATTGCAGTGTTCGACTTGGTATATACGGATTGCGATCTATTCAAATTGGCTCTAGTTAACGGTGGACTTCTGCAGAGCGATTTTGTTCCACCGTAAATAGACTCGACCCGCTCTAGCCGGGCAGGTGGAGCCGAGTACAAGCTCGGACAATAATTTGCTCTGGCTTCAATTCCAGTAGTAGACCTATAAGTGTTGTATGTAGACCCGTGAAATTTTGGAGCTTGCGGTTTGTCCAGATCGTCGTAGTTCAACTCATCGTCCGATGGAATACTCGACGCTTCTTCTTCGTGCTCTTTCTTCGGAGCCTTGGGCTTGTGCGGGTTGAAGATATACTCATATACAAGTCCAGCAATCAAGCCCCCAAGCAGGGGGCCCAGCCAATCCACCCAATGGGCTTCCCACTTGTTCAGCACGAACGCCGGACCAAGAGCACGGGCTGGGTTTAGGTAAGGCATCTGAAGCAAGAATTTGTTTAAGCAACGAATTTTCTTCACTGTACCTACTCGCAATACTTACAAAGACAAGGGAGCAGGCGCAATAAGTAGCGCCTATCGTAATTGCGCTTGTTCCGATATACTTCCGATAAGTGTCCATTGATATTAAGTATGAGAACACAACCAGAAACGTTAACGTTAGTTCAATTCCAAAGCGTTCCCAGGATGTGAAGATATTGGACGGATGTCCAACTGCTGACGATAAATTTTCTTGATATCCGTGATAACCCGGCACCGTTACCCTGAAATATCACAATTACAATTAGGGGACACAGACACAAAATTATCACTTGTGCTAATTGCTGACCACCTGAGCCCATCTCATACTTTTGGTTCTTTGAAACAAATTTTTCGACTACTTCACCCCGAGTATTCATATAAGCAATCATATGAGGTGATGAGAATGATAACATTTAAAAGTTGTAGAAATGCTAAAAATAATTTTAAAGCGTTAACAAACAAGTGTTCGTAATTAGGCTCTGTTTTTATAGGTGATGACTCTAAAGGCCAGATGTGGTGGAGTTATGACGCCATCCCACTGGCTCCTTATGGTTTACAGCTGCGGAAATTCGAGTGCCGTTTGCTTCGTCTTAATATCCCAAATGTCCCAATGTCTAAAATAATTGTAATTTACATATGCCAGCAAGATTTGAATTAAACGTAAAAGCCAAAGCTGTTTTACACCACTAAGAGCTTCAATGACAATTTTGCATGGATTAAATGCACGTTTTAGACCCCTATGACTGAGCGAAATTACACCCCAATCAAGTTGATCGGGGCAAGTGCGGTGGTACGATGTGAATTAAAAAAGTAACGGGGGTTGAAAAGTTTCAATGGCCGTATCAGATGTGAACAAGTGCATTTTAATGATTTTAAGGGCATGCCCTTCATGTATGCCGTAAAAGTTTTCATGAGGGGAAAACGATCTGTTTACTTTCACATGGTTAAGTTTTAATGGTCATTAGAAAAAAAACAACAATTATTTGTATCAGTCGCATAGGCAGCTTCACAAATATTAAACAAAAAATTATCCTCAACTTATATAATTAATATAAATGTTCAGACTTTTAAGCAGTATGCGAACCAGCAAAGTAATATTAAGTGAGTTGATTGATAAATCTTGGGACGACAATATCCAATGCCAAATTTAACCTTAATTTTTACCGGTACCCAAAATCGGACGATTTTTGCTTTATTTTCTACAAAAAAACGCTCTCTTTTATAAAGTTTCACCGAAAAATACTGACGATCTAAAGGTCTTTTACGCGAAAAATAGTCTTTTTAAAATTGTACAAACAAATTCCTTCCGTTTTTCCCCGAAAACCAATAAGGTGTTCTCTAAAACCGGTCACAAAACTAAAAGTTTTTAATCGAAAACGCAAAGAAAACTATTTTCTGATAATTTTTTGGCAATAATGGGGCCTTTTCAGCCAAAAATTACAAAATTAATTTTGCTAGAAAATTCGCCTCATTCATCAGTCTGCAGGAAACTTTAGAAAAGCCTTTAATGCTTCGAATTTGGCACAAAAACCAAATAATTTTGTTCAGTTTTTTATCGAAAATAAATAAGATTATCTTGAAAAAACGACCCGAGAGCACAAGTTTACAAAACATTATTTGGAAAATTTGCCGCTCTCATCGCTCTGAAGATTTTTGCAGGCCATTCCAATTTTTGCAAAGTTTCTATTAAGCAATTCTTTCTGCGCGAAAATCGTATTATTTTTTAGTTTTCCTTAAAATACTGACAATCTTCAACAAAAAAATTATAAGATAAATTTTATTGGAACACTCGCCTCCTTAAGCGCTTTGCAAAAATATCATCAGCAAATAATGTTTATAACCCTTTATTTGGAGCTCTTGGAAACTGGGGTATCTTCACTTTTACGTCAATATTTCTAAACAATACTGTCTTTTTAAACAGAAAAACTGCGTGTTTCCTAACGTTTTACTGTAAACTGAATATTGTATGCTAAAAAATTAAGAGGTCGATTTTACAATAAAACTAGTCGACTTTCTTTGGACTCAGTTCTGTTGCTGGGAAAATCTAGACGACCTTTTTTAGCTGTTTAAACAAAGTAGTAAAACGTTAATTTGACACTTTTATTGAATTTTGAAAAATTTCCCTCCATAACGGCCTGTTCAAACTTTTCGTCTTCCCCTTGTAGCTCACAGAGGAAATTTTCTTCAACCTACCAAAGTCGATTTGTCATGCAACTTTTCCATATCTAACCACCTGTCGAGGAAAAAAAAATTTGGTGGGTGAGCCCTTTTCGAGCGATCTTTTCGAAATTTTACATTTTATTTTTTTGAAAACTAAGCTTCCTATCAAACACAGTTATTCGTTATACAATATCTCATCGTCTCATCGAGCACTATCCAACGGTATTAACGGGAAAATATGTTTTTCAAAAAACTGCAAAAAAACTGAATCTAATCAGTCCAGTCAATCGACCATCCCAAGCGAGTAATTGACGATTTTCTAAATAAAGTATGTAGGTATTAATTTGCTAACTGGTTGAACCATCTGTGCAAAGCGAACCTCAGAGATATTGTTGTAGCACGGCAGACATTCCAAAAGAATACGAAAAATCGAAATTCCTCCCCCAGCCGCGCTCGAAGGATGCCATCTAAAAAAAATGCGACAGCTGTTGTATATATCCTTCTGCTATTAAACACCACACAGGTAAATTACCTCAGGTAGGCAAAGGTCCTTTCTACTGGCCGTCTTTTGTGTAATAAAATTAAGTACTGCACATGAACGGGCCTTTCACGAATTCCCAATAAAGTCTTGGGCTGATGTGGTGCCCCTTTGGTCGGAGACAGATTAAATAAAATGTTGTTGAGGAACCCGATATTAGGCAAAAATATATTCAAGAAAGGAATATGATATTTATGCCCAGTAGGCAACGAGTTTGCATAAATAAATGCATCAAAACCAGATTATTTTAGTAGCAACCACGGTTACGAAAGGTGAACGACATTTCTCAGTAAATTTAATTAAAACCCATCCTTTTCGTACGTCCATGGCTCGATACTGAACGAGAAGCACCAAAAGAAAATTAAGAATTTTAAGAACAGCTGAAACGAAGCAGGTGATGACCGATTTTGCTTGACAGATGGTCTTCAACTTCGAATCTACAATAATTTTCGTTCAACACCCAAATATTTTGTTTATCATAGATTTATAATTTTTTGCCGTGTGCTGCTGAAATACTTCGGATGTTTAACGGGTGGAAGCTAACAAAAGTGTGCCAATAAAAGCAGAATTTCACATACATTATAATTTAAATTTTCCCACCCCATAGTGGGAATAAGGCACATGCCACATTCGACCGAAAACAACTACTGCCAAGGGATTACTTAAATGGATCAACCCCAAAGTGTGCACGTATCAAGATCATCGTGAGAATATCTATCAGCCAACTACTAACAGTTTAAATCGCATAATGAAGCTATTAAAAGCATTATCGTTGTTATGTTCCCATGGATTGTCCTTATCAGGGTCGTTTGAGTTCAATTGGATCCGGTGATTATGTTATTGGAACTTTTAACTACGGCAATTCTGGGAAAAGTGAATTTCACTTGTGAAGTTTAACGAACTCCCTTGTCCTTTTTCTGTTGATGAGGGAATTTCATTTATTGTACATTTTCGAGCCGCTAAGCGAATTAAACAATGACAGTAAAAAATGGACCAACTTCGGAATTAATTACCAATATCTGGCCTTTCCCAAGAGACACAGTGTGGCCAATAAATAAAAAAGCGACAATTGGCACCCTCCAGCCTTCGGGTCACATGTCATCCTCAACTATCATAATCACGCCGTTGTATGAGCTATATTGTTTATTGTCGCACTTTTTCGCCCTTCATGCAATTGTTTTCCTTAACCGAAGGGGATGGACGGGTTTTATGTACCACTTGCTTTGCATGTTGCCACATAAGCAGATTGATCCATAAAAACAGTTCAAAATTTCCGGCTTACACTTACGAATTATTTGTCTTCGATTTACCCATGCAAGATTTTGTTGCAATCAAGCCCTAAACAAAATTAAACATCGTTGCACATCGACTTACTACGTAAGTGTGGATACTTGTTAAACGTAGCCCTTTACAAATATTTAAATAATTAATATTTCAGGCAAAAATGTGACAACAGGGCGTTTGTTCCTCCGTATGTTGGGGGATTATTGGCACTTGTTCTCCAGTCCATAAAAAAGCGATCCTGGCAGTTGTGCTGGTTATAAAATAAATATTTATCGCTCGTATACACACCCCATCATAGGCCAATACTCATTTGCGTTTTTCCTTTGTGGATGCAACCCGCAATTATTTAAAGCAGCAAATTTGAACCGTACTTGCGTATTTGCAAATAGGCACATTAAATCAGCAAGTTGCCTAATTCGTTATGCATAACTACAGACTACAGTCTTTTAATTGCAGTTCGTATCTATTCCACGCCTTTTACTTTATTTCGTTCACTGTTAGCTTCGTCAATAACAAATTTTGCAATTCATTTGAAAGGACATGGAAAATATTGGTAAAACTATAGAAGGTTTGATTGTTAAAATAATACGGAGAAAGCAATCGACACCACCACATAGAAGTGGGTCTGCCAAGAACAAGGGGAAGAAACAAGATCGAAAAGATGAGGGTGATCAAAAGTAGGTAAAGGAAATGCCGATGCTCCACGCTTGGCTGCGGCAGAGGGACAAAAAAGACCAGGTGGTACCTTCGAACACGTGCTCCCAGATTTCATATTTTATAAGTGGTTTGATGCAGCTTGCCTCGGATTTTGACAAGAATGTGAGGACGCAAAGTCCGTAGGTGTTTGCCCGAATGCCGGTTAGAAAAATATGCCACTCATTTCTTTGAACTCTCGTATAAGAAACCATTTTGCACTTGGATTAATTTGCAGCTATTGAGCTCGGTGCGTCTGCACTTGCCATCAATTGTAAATAATCCGGACAACGCGAGGAATCATTTAATGGTCATTCAAAAACAATGAATGGCCAAATAAAAATCAGCGTGCCTTAATATGTGATTGTACGCTAAATGAATGGATGTGTAAAGTAATTAGTTACCCATATAGAAATGCAGCTCCAGCAATTGCGCCTCCGCATTGGGATATCATGAACATGCAAGTCCTTAAAAGCGATATCCTCTTAATCAGCCCCATCGCTATGGTAACGGCTGGATTAACGTGAGCTCCTGAAGGAAAAAAGCGGTTAATAATCCTGAAAACATACACAGACAGATCGACACCTCGAGCGCTTACTCCCGAAGGTGTCTATTTCGTATAATGATTGATTTCTCCTATAAGGCAAATAATAAGAAGCGCTCCTTGGCAAAGAATATGAAACCTGCCTTTCAAACAAACATTCCCCATCTTAAAATGTTATGAGACGATATTTTGATCAACTTTGGTGTTTTAGAAGTCGCGAAAAAAACTTTTCTTTTTCATAGTCCCTGTTTGAAGGGTGCAACACTCTATTCAAGAGCCAGTCATAAAATACCGAGCTGTTAAAATTGTTTCAGAGTTGCAACCTTCATTCAGAATGCAAAGGATAAGAGCAGATGTTACGAAGTTCAATGCTGTTTATAATGCGATAAAACGACTTTGTTAATAGTAAATACAGCAGATTAGTTTTCGCTGCACTTCTCCGTATTAATAGACTGATTTTTAAGTGAAAACTCTGCCGGATTCTGAGGAACGTTTGATGGTTTTCTGTGAAATTAGGGCCACTTTGCAATGCCAGGATTTTCCTTTTTTCCCCAATTTTGCGCGTGCATTTAAACAGCCAGAACTGCCCTCTATTCATATTATTGCCACTTTAACATGATGGGAATTAAAGCAACTTTTTAATTCCCATAAACTAATTTGCCATAATTAAACTAAACTTCAATTAAATATTTTATTAGCGAGCGACACAATAAAAATTTGAAACGCTGGCTTCAGAGATCTTGCGCTCAATGAGATTTACCCAAACTTGCTCTGCATTTCCTAAATATTGCATTGTCCACTGATTTAAAGCGGTTTTAAGCCTTAGCCATTACATATAAAAAACGTGATACTTACCAGAGACGTGAGCGAAAAACTGAGTCAAAAACATCATCACAAACCCTGAAGTGATGGCAGTGAATAAGAAGACATTAGCCGCGGATGTGTTGCCCATTCTGGACGCGGCATTCGCACCACAAACCAAAAAAGTATACACAAAACTAGCAATTGATTCGGAAATTAGCGCTTTCCAAAATTCGAACGTTCTGAGCTCCACTCGCATCGGAGCTTTTTTCTGCCCATTCTCACTGATTTTTTCTCGCCGAAGCACTTCGAGTTTCTCCAAGATTGTGACCAAATGAAATTCAAGATTTTCTGTGTTTAAGTTGTCGTCCGTCATTTTAAATTCGATGGCGAGTTATCTTTTAAGCCCCATACAAGCCCTTGTCCTCCCACAAGAACGACCGAGTGGCACTGAAATTTCAAATTCAAACTAAAGCGGCACATGTTGATTCGGGCTCCCCTTCTTCGAACGCTGCAGCCAATCACATCTTGGGCAAGCATGTGTTTTCTCACATGGAGTTTTTTCAAATTGCAAGTGTATATTCCTGATGGTGGAATATGCAGGATCAGATCTCAGCATCGTCCACGGTATTAAATTGGCTTCTTAGAAAAAATAAAATCGGAGAGTTGCCGGTCATATGATATGATGAAAATGTGATGAGGATTTTCTTGGGAATCACTAAACTGCAAATCTACTCATCTTAACAAAAGTCAACATCCATCCATCCTTGATAATTCTTTATTTGGCTGGCCACATTAAAACGAAATGAATTTAAAAAAAAGGGGCGCTCGACAGAAGTGATAACTTCATAAATTAATAGAAACCATAAAATATTGAACTTTATTTAAATTTTTTTTTATAATTTTAATATTCTTGAAAGTCAGTAAAATGGATCAGGAATAGGTAAAATTTAATTTAATTTCCTTTTGAATGTAAAATATCTTTTTATTTGCAACATTTAACATTCTTTAACGAGATGTTGTACATATTGCTCTTCTCGGGTTTGCGTAAACCCTTTTTCTTGGGTTTCTGTATTTTTTTGTCGTAATTTCTTGCTTTGTATAATCTTTGACGTTCAGCACTAGTTCGTGATTGATGAAAGCTACTTTGAGTTCATCTATTACTTAATGCTCCTTTTTTAGTACGAAATCGTTTTTGCGATCAACATTACTTAATACTTTTCGCATTATAGCGTGTTTTTGTGACTTCTTTTGTTTATGTTGTTCATGAACGTCTGCTACAACGTGTATCTGAATAGGACTAAAAAATCAATTAATTTTGGTGATTGGAAGACGTTCTATCTGTTTAAAATAGACGGTAAAACCAGGAAGAGTTATAGAGACAGGATAC